GGGTCAGGAGTGAAGGGTACTAGGGAGCCAGGGGGCTGCAGGTCAGGAGTGAGGAGTATCAGCAGGGACAGGGGGGCTGTGGCTTGGGAGTGAGGGGCATCAGCATGGTCTGGGGGGCAAGGTACAGTGGGTCAGGAGTGAGGGACAGCAGCAGGGCTGGGGGGCTATGGTTTGGGAGTGAGAGGCAGGGGCATGGCATGGGTATATCATTGCCCTCCCACAATCATATACCCCCCCCTCCCTTCCTTGCCCTCCCCAAATGTCCTCTTTTTTAAAACTGAAAATATGGTAACCCTATCATTAGCATATTCTAAAATGCAGGGAAAGTACATGGGTAATAAAGAACAAAAAGCATGAAGAAGTGCATGAAGTATACTTGCCTGTATACCAAGTTGTTTTATGCTATATAACTGGTATGGTTAAATTAGTTGTGGTGCCATATTCTGCTTTCACTTGTACCCCAGGCAAACCTTTTCAGTTGTTTTTGCCTGTGGAGCAAGTCCTCATATAATCTCATCCCTCAGGAAAGCTTCTCCAAATGTCTTTAACCACTATCTTAATAAGGCCCCAAATGAGGAATGTACTTAAGCACATGCTTAAGGCCTGTCACTATTTGGGAATATGTTTAAGTACATTTTTATGTCCCATTGACTTTGGGAAGACTTAATTACATGCTTAATATAAAGCATATGTGTTAAGTAACACATTAAATACGCCCTGGGCATGCCTTCACATGCATTTAAATTTACTGTGCAGTAAGTGAGGATAGGCCGGCATCTACACGTGCAGGCATTAAAGTGCATTAACTCTGTGGTAGTCCCAAGTCAGTCCACAGACACAGCGTTACTGCGCAGTAAAAACATCTACAGGTGTTACTGCGCAGTAACTAATCGGGCATAAATTTGATACCTATGTGATGGAGGTATCAAATTTATGCTCAAGTCAGTGTAAGACACCATATTTACTATGCAGTAATTTTGGCTACTGTGCAGTAAATATGCATGCATAGATGCACCCACTGAATGGGAAATGAACTGTGGCAGTGAGCACCAGTTAGTTAGGGTAGAGGGATTTTTTATTATTTCTGTAGCAGGCTTACCTTTTCAGAGTTTGGGTTCAGTCCCAGGATCGAGGGTCTGCTGTTTGATTGGTGGAGCCCGCCCACCAATCCGGAGTTAGCACAAGGGAAGCAATGCTCTGCCCTTTTCCGAAGGGAGGGGGCAAGGAGCAGCTGGACCTGAAACGGAACTGTGCCAGCCAGGGCCAGAGAACTTCAGGGGTGGAGCCCCTGAAGAGTATAAAAGGGGAGTATGCTCGGCAGGCTGGGGAGATGATGAGGGATGAAAAGGAGGGAGGAGCTCCAGAGACGGCCATCCTCAGGAACCTGCTTGAGCTTCAGCAGCCTGCAAATCAGCGCACAGGGATCAGGCTCTAGGAGCCGCTTGAGGTGGCTTGAGCCTGCAAACCTGGCAAGCAGTTGATGTGCAGATTGACACACAGAGAG